ACGGCTTGCCTGGGATTTCTGGTCCTCACATCAAAAAGGAGGCTGCACGAGGGTGCAGGAAGTATTTCCTCTTGTACCCTGACCCTTTGAGGGCACAGCCCGAGTCCTTGTGGCCAGCGCCCCTGTGGACGGGCGGACCACTGTCCCCGCTGCACTACAGAGCTGGGGGCATCTGGTCCCACAGCTACCGCACCAGCACAGGAGCCGGGACTGGCGCCGGGGCTCTGGCTCCAAATCCGGCCACCTTGCTCCTCCGCACTGCCCGGCTCCCAGCCCCCAAGAGACGTCCCAGCTTCCGAGTCTGGAGGTGGAGATTTCCACAGCACAGTGGGTGACACGGGGCTGGAGGTCAGCTCGGCTGGTCTTGAATCCCTGCACTCCCTCGCAGTGCGGACAGGCCATATAACCCCTCTGTGCCTCGGTTTCCTTCTGGTGAAATAAGACTAGTAACAGGTTGATTGTGAAGATTCAACGATTTAAAACAGGTAAAGCTCTCAGGACAGGCCCAAGCATGCAGAAGGTGCTCACTCAATGCCTATCGTGGTTTTTATTTAGCACACGTTTGTCTGCAGCCTGCCTGCTGCTGCAGTGCCCACGCCTTAGGCCTGCCCAGGTCTCCCTGAGTCCCAGGTTCTAGACTCGCCTGGGACGGCTGGGCTCTGCGAGGCCTCCCAGAAGCTGACGGGCGTCTGTGGGGTCCTGGCTGGTGCCACAGCCCTCTGACACTCCTCAAGGCCACGTCCTATTCAGCCCCCAACCCCCTCTGACACCGGCCCTGGCTCCTCTTTGCAGATTTTAATGAGAACGGCTTCATCGACGAGGAGGACCTGCAGAGGATCGCCCTGCGCCTGCTCGACACTGACGACGTGTCTGAGGACCTGCTGATGGACCTCACAAAACACGTGTGTACCCAGGGCAAGGGGATCAGTTGTCACTCAAAGCCCCGGATGTCAGGCACCCTCTGGAAGAGACCCAGGGCCAAGCCTGAGGCAGATGGCATCTCGGCCTGTGGTGCGCATGTTCCGTGGGGGCTGCCCTGGGGTCAGGCAGCTCGAGGCGCCCTGAGGAACGGGTACATAGCCGAAGGCAACTGCCCCTCAATTTTCTGTCCCTCCTCCAAGTCCCTTCTAGGGTCCCCAGAGCAGTGTGCCCGACCCACCCACTCCAAGGGGCCTTCTGCCAATATGGCGGTCGCCATAGGCGGGTGAGCCAATAGCAGCAGGGCAACAGACAGACACGTCACAACGCCCCCTCCCCACGTGGCCCAGCGCAGCACAATGCCCAGGTGTGCTAGGGTGACAAGACGTGAGAGCAGCCCTGCAAACCCAACACAGGGCGTGCATCTTTGTTTTCAGACCATGGCAACAGTCAAGTGTCCCTGGTCTGGGTGGGAACTAGGAGGAAGATAAAAGCATGAGAACTGTTGTCACCTCTGCCTCCCTGACCTTGTCACCCGGCCCTTGCAGTGCAGAGCTCCTGCCTGTGCTGAGAACCTGCTTCCCGAGGGTCAGGGGGCCTGGCCCTGGCATCTGGCAGCCACATGGCTTGTGGTCTGTCTCCCTCCCTCCTCCTGTGTCCCCATGTCACTGCCTGACACCAGGTCCCACTCAGCCCCTTCCGTGCCCCCGACCAGGTCCTGAGTGAGTCGGATCTGGACAATGACAACATGCTGTCCTTCTCAGAGTTTGAACACGCGATGGCCAAGTCTCCAGATTTCATGAAGTAAGGAGTTCTGGAGGGGGAGGGGCTGCCCAGAATAGTGGGGGGCCGGAAGGGTACCCCAGTCTCCCCTCGGCGGAGGAGGCATCTCAGTCTTTTCAAGGAGGTTGTGAGTTTCCAGGGCACTTGGCAGATTTTTCTAGAACCAGCAAAACCGGGGCTTCTGAGAAATACCACGGGATAGTAAAAGGCAGAGGGGAGGACCGGATTCCAGGCTTTGCAAAGACATGAGGGGTCCGGCCTCAGGAGCATGCCCTGTGACAGCCAGCACAGCTGTGTGCCCCGCCTGGCCACTGCTGGTCCTGCTCCCCTCCCCCACCGCCCCAGCAGTCCCCTGGAGCCGGGGATTTGTGGGGGCTGTGAAGGTGCAGGTGGCAGAGCTCGGGGAAGAAAAGAAACGTGACGAGAGAAGCACCCAGTTCTACATCTGGAGCAGGAAGGGGCCCTAATAGTTGACTGTGGCCCAGGTGCCCTTGAGATGATCGGCCATCTCCACATCTCCCCGGCCTGTAGAACAGTCTGTTCTGGATCCTTCCAGTTACGGGATACGCACTCCCCCTGGAGGCAGCCCCTGTCATGGCCTTCGTCACCCATGCTGGTGTCCGTGGACGTGTTGCCTACTCCTTGGTCCCATTCTGCCCCTCGGCCTCATGGTCTAGGTGATGGCAAGGACGTGTGCCTACGAGAGATGTTTTAGCAAACAAACCCCAACAGAACAGAGAGCTAGACCTCAGCGAGCACCAGGACAGGGGCCAAGACAGCTCGGTCCCTCTCTGGGCCAGCGTCCCTGCCTCCCACCTCGTCCCCCCACGCTCGGCTTATCCCCCACGCCAGCAGTCCCCAAACACGGCCTCCCTACGGTGGGCACGTTTATACCTCCTTGGGTTTGAGTGACGTTCAGTGACCTCCAAGTGATGTCCCTCAGCTCTGACTCCACATTCCCAGAGAGAGAATCCGACTGAGGTCCCGCCCTCTCCAGCCACCCGGATGAGCGAGGCCTCCACGCCAGCACGCTTGCCAGGGGCCTGGGGCTTGGCCGCACCCTCCTTAGAGACCCCAACCAGAGGAGATTCCTCTTCTCCAGGACAGCCCAGTGCGTGATGGAAGCTGGAATCCCCCCACCTCGAGTTTCTCTCTTAATCGCTCCCCGCTTTCCCCTGATCTCAGCACTGCAAGGTTCTGAGACCCTTTGCATTCTGGTGATGCTAAAAGCAGCCTTTGAGAAAGGGACACGAGACTTGGGCCAGGGAGGGCGCCTCTCGGACTGCTGTCAGCCCCAGAGTCAGAGGGCCCCTGAGAACGGCAGGCTCAGTGGCTCACAGAATTCTTTCCTTCAGCTCCTTTCGGATCCACTTCTGGGGCTGCTGATGTGGCAGCCAGCACAGCGAACGCCAGATCTGGCAGCCTCGAGGGAGACCGTGGGAATCCACCCCCTCCAGGCACTGGGGGTTCTGCTTTGAAGTGTGACTTTGTCCCAGGCCCTCCCTCACCTCTCGCGTATCGTTTATTAAATAAAGCACAAGAAAAGCCGTAGCCCATCAGTTCATTGCTGTTTAAACGCAGGATCATATACAAGTACTTTGCATTAAGAACTGCTCATTCCAGGGCTTAGGTTTGCAGTGACGCCGACCAAGCTGGATGGCAGTCGCTCTGAGGGCAGGGTTCGGGCTTGTCCTATGTCATAGCAGAGGACCAGGCCAAATGGGATGAAGTTCACTAGGAAAATACAAGTCCTTCCCTCCCGTCCCCAGAACCCCGCCCCGCACCCCGCAGGCGGATCTGCACAGGCTGTGCACACAGCGCTCATTCCAGCCGGGGCCTGGCTCCCCAGTCCTCTCCCGAGGGAGACGACATCTCGGCCCCACATAGCACCCCCAGGCCCTGGGGATGGGACAGCATGTGACCAGCGATCAGGGTTCATTTGCTTTGCTGTTCGGCCAAGCTCTGGAATGAATTTGGCCACCACAGAGACCCTTCGGGGCCCAGCTAATCGGGGATTTTAAGATACAGAAGCAGCCCCTCATGGAGAGCCACCGGATGCCCACCTGATGGGCACATGGTTTCTCTTATCTCTGCTGTCCTCGGGGAGGTGTCCAGATGCTGCCACAGAGGCAGGGCTGTTTCAGCCTTGGTTATACTTGAACCTTGCTGTGGTCTTCTTGCCTTCAGGGCCTGACTCACCCATTCATGGGCAATAAAGGCCCCGTTGCTTAGTGGGGTCCCCTTGATCAAATCCAGGAGTTGCTGGAATGTCGGAGAAGTCCTGTGGTGTGGGTACACACCTGGCTCAGGTCCCCATCCCAGATCCTGTCTACGAACGAGCTGTCACCCACATGCTGCCCATGCCCCAGCAGGCAGGAGCCTCCGGGAGGTGGGGAGCAGAAGCTTGGTGGGAACAGACACTCCAGACCCCCCTAGGCCACCGTAGAAGTGTGGCCTAGGCACCCACTCCCAGCGCCCACTTCTGGTCTGGAGTGGCTTAGTCCTGGGCCATTTCCTCCCATTCCCTTCCAGAAACAGCTTCACCTGTCCACACCAGTCTGAGCAGAATGCAGGAGTGGCCACTCCCCATAGCTTCTCCCAGGCACCCGCCCTCCGCGGGGTCCTCGTGATCCCAAGGGCTGTGTCGTGCCTGCCCCTCTGTCTCCACATGGGCCATGACAGGGTGTGTCATGCAAAGACCAGGGCTTGGGAGTCAGCTAGACCTGGGTTCCAATTCTTGCTACATCACCTCCCAGCTGTGTGAGCCCGGGCAACTTCTCACCTTCTCTGAGCCTCAGTGTCTCTTATCGGTAAACTGGGACAATGGCGCCTCCCTCACAAGTTCCCGTGTGGACCGAGTGATGCCAGGGCAGGCTCCGATGGGAATTCCTTTCCATCTCACGGCCTGTGCAACACTCTGGGGCCACCTGCCCCTCATTCTCAGACGTGGGTGATCGGGCTTCCTCGCTTACACCAGTGGAAGCAGGTGGGAGCTCTCTATACCTGAGTGACCTGCCACTAAGGCTTGGGAACTCCCCAGTTCCACCTGTCCCACCCTGGGGGAGAAGGTGGGTGGACCCGCCAGGTAGCTGGACCCTGCTTTTCCTGGGCTCGAGTCCCTTGGGCTGAGCTTCCCACGGGCCCTTAAGACACAATGCTGTGTGACCCTCGGGGGTGCTTTCCTGCTGTGGCCATATATCCCTGCGCCCAGAGGAGAGGTGTGTGGGATGGTCGTGGCTAAAGATTTTATTCCAAGCAAGTCAACCTGCTGGGGGCCAAGGCTCTCAGGCCACCGGGCCTCATGCTCTGAACTCAAAGTAGCAGTCTCTGCTCCGCCGCTCTTGTGGAGAGACCCTCTTCCCTGATGGGAAGGTCTGGTAGGTCTTCGGGTTCTCAGGGGACACTCTTAAAAGGTTCCACTTGTTCTTCAGGCTCAGCGGAGGCCTGGGGGTGAAGATGGGGCCAGCGTTACACAGTGTGCTGGAGAGGGAGGGTGACACCTGCCCACTCCCCAGCCCACCTGCCCCTGCTGCTGCTCATCAGCTGGACACCCGACAGGTCACCCTGGATGTGAGATGATGACAGCCTGCATCTGCACAAGTGGTTCAGAGTGAGGACACAGGCCTCAGATAGTCCCGCGTGGCTTGCAGCCCTAACTCCTGCTAGAAGTGCACACATAAAAATGGATTTGGGTTGCTGTCTCCCTCTTGGCTTTGTTTTGAGGACTAAATAGGCAATGCTCATGAAGCCCTTAGCATAAAGCTGCACAAGGAGCAGACACTCAACCGGTGTGCTGGGGAATGGTGCCGGTGGTGCTGATGGGAATGGAACTCCAGGAGGGGAGGGACTTGCCCCAGGCCCCAGAGCCCATCACCGACGCTCTTACCCCCAACCACCTGGCTGGCCCTCTGCGCTGGGCATGAAACTATCGGCAGTAGTGCAGGCTGCCTGGCAATGTGGAGAAGGAGCAGAGTTGGGGTGTCCCAGGCTCCCCAAAGCTATGGGAGGGGCAAGCCTTGGCCAGAGCAGTCTCAGGAGGAGATCTGTCCCCAGGAGAGGCCCATTCTGTCCCCGGGGACCGACTGGCTCAGAGCCACCTGAAGCACAAAGATGGCCAACCCCAAGTCCTGGAGTTGGTGATGGGAGATGCCAGTTCCTTTTCAAGCCCAGCCTCCAGCCAGCCAGCCAGGCCACCCAGCGGAAGTCCCCAGGTGATTACTGAGCCTCAGTTTCCCTATTTATAAATTAGGCCCATTATCTTACAGAGAGGAACTTTTAGAGGCACTGAAGTCTGTTTCTTTAAAAACCATTAAACTTTATGGAAATGGATGCTGCTTTAGCAGTAACGAAGAGGCTGAGAAACCCAGATCTATCCACTGACCTCCTGGCACAAGGAGAGGCCTGGGCGTCAGGAGGGAGATAGCACAGTAACTGCCTGCGTGGATCATCTGTCAGGGTGGGGTGGGCCTTCCCCAGGTAAAGGAGCTCTCTCAGATAAAAGCATCAAGGGGCAGGTAGTAAGGAACTTTCACATTTTTTTAGATGGACAGTTGGACTTGCAAGGTATTTTCAAATCCCTAGGAGAACACTTCCGAGTCTGCTTGGTGTAGTTCCCGTCATGTCCGCCAGAGGGAAGAAGCCTCTTGCTGCTGGCAGCAGCCGTGTTTGGACTAGTGTAACTGCAAGGCTGCGGTTGCAGGGGAGCAGTCTGCAGATTCTGGCCAGCTCAAGGTTTGCTCCCAAGCTCCCAGGGCATCTGGCTGGGAAATTGCTCTTCCTGACTTGCTCATTCAGTCTCCTGGCGTCCCTCCTGAGGCTGCCCAACCCCTGGCCCCAGTGCTCTGTAACTGCCACACTGCATTGCAAGTTTTAGGGCAAGGCTACTAACTCATTGCTCAGCCTGGCTGAGAGCCAGTGCCTCATGGATTGTGCTGGTTGACCGCATGGATAGAGGGAGGGCAGGCACTCACAGGTCGGTGGGGAGAGGGTACCGGTCCTCTCTCACAGGCAGGACGAAGTAGGGGACCCGGGGCACCGTGCCCGTCTTGTCTCGATAGTACTTCCGATGCTGCTGTACCATCTACGGCTCAACCAAGGAAGAGACGACAGGTTGTTAGTGTGCAGGAGTGACCTCAGGCACCTGCAGCCCATGCCTGGCTAGACCTGGCCAGGAGACCCTGGAGGAACCCCAGCGTTGCTGGGGCCCTGGCTCAACTGCTGACCAGCTGGGTGTCCACTCTGAGCCTCAGTTCCTCATCTAATGCGGATAATGACACCCACTCTACCAGCTTTGCCACAGACAGTAAATGAGACAAGGGGGCAGCTAAGATAAAGAGCGAGCACCCAGTCCCACAGGGCACACACTTGCTGTGCACACGGACACTGGAAGCCCGTAAGCTCTGTGTGGGTTTGCTCATCCACGTTCTGTGTGAGAGCCACTGAGATGGTCCCACAGAACCCTTAGGGGCTGATGGCAATGCCCTTGTCCTGCTCCCAGAGCCAGGTGCCTTACTCATACAGGTTCTCTGCCCTGAGACCAGGAGGCACCCGTGTCCTAGAAACCAGGCTGGGGGCAATGTTCGCAAGAGGGGATGGGGAGAGCAAGCTCTCTGGGAACGAAGCAGAGAATGAGCCCTCGGCCCCACGGAGGGATGAGGGCCAGCTCAGGCCCACGCATCGTGGCCCGCTGGGGTGTGTCAGAACCAGATCGGGGCAGAGTGGGAGGTTTACGAGCCAGAGGAGCAAGACAAGAACATCAGGGGTGTGGGCGCCCCCTTCCTCCTCCTCGCTTTCCCAGGGGGCAGTTTGGTCCAGTCTGGGGCTGAGGCCGACTGGGGCACACACTCAGAGGGACTGTGGGGCAGGGAGCAGGCAGGGCTGGGCCGGGGCTAGGGGGCTGGTGTGGGCCTTTGCTCATATGTGATTCATCCTGTGGGTGAACCTTAGGCCCTTTACTCAGCTGGAGGGTCAGCGGGGGTCTGCAGGGCCAAGAGACTGTGGGGGGGGCAGAGAGGAGGGCAGGAACACCCTCAGAGACCCCCTGCAGTTGGGGGAACAGAAGCAGAAGCCACTGAGGCCCCTGGGGGTGGGAGGAGATCAGGGAAGCAGAGTCCCTAGCCAAACTCGCCAGGTTCCCTGCTGGCTCAGGGGCTCTGAAAATGCCAATCAAGACACTCTGGAGGGTGTGAGGTCTGCCCTGGCCCTGCCATCAGCCTCTCCCCTCTCAGGGCTGGCGGGCAGGCGGGGAGGCGGCAGCTCACCTGGTAGAAGTGAGAGAGCCGGCCGGCGTGGTCGCTATCCAGGTTGAAGCGGGTGTAGCTGGGCGCGTGCAGCGAGCGGTCCCTGGTGAGCGAGCGGTCGACGAGCACGAGGTCGGGGTTGGGGGAGAAGATGGTGGGAAAGTGGCCGCCCCTGCCACGCTCCATGGCGGCGTTGCGGTGGTCCTGGAAGTACTTGAGGGTGGTGGTGCCGTAGGGGGAGCCGAAGGAGAAGGCCGCACCGGGAACGTGGCCTTGGTACCTGCCACGGCAGCGGGGCAGGGGAGGCGCAGATCACTGAAGGGCTCCAGGGCCAGCTCCAGAGAGGGCCTTAAAAACTGAGGGTGAGGCCGGGCGCGGTGGCTCACGCCTGTAATCCTAGCTCTCTGGGAGGCCGAGGCGGGCGGATTGTTTGAGCTCAGGAGTTCGAAACCAGCCTGAGCAAGAGCGAGACCCCGTCTCTACTAAAAATTAGAAAGAAATTAATCGGCCAACTAAAAATACATAGAAAAAATTAGCCGGGCATGGTGGCGCATGCCTGTAGTCCCAGCTAATCGGGAGGCTGAGGCAAAAGGATTGCTTGAGCCCAGGAGTTTGAGGTTGCTGTGAGCTAGGATGACGCCACGGCACTCTAGCCCAGGCAACAGAGTGAGACTCTGTCTCAAAAAAAAAAAAAACAGGTTGAGGTTGGGGGCCTTGAGAGCCTTCCTAAGGGGCACCCCCCACCCAGGTGTTTGGGGAAGGCCAGTGGCAGGGTCTCTGCCTAGAGGGTCAGCTCTCCAGACCAGAGGCTCACACCGGGGCCAGAGCACCGGTGCCCCTCAGCCAGGCCGCAAAGAAATCGCTCCCCCTCAGTGGGCCCCATTCACTCAGGGGCTGGCCCGAGATGTGGGGGCCTCCTCCAGCGCTGACATTCTGTGGCCGTCTCCTTAAAGGGCAGAGAGTATGAGAAGAAGCCGTTGGGGACCCCGTCAAGGGAACGTGGCAGGTGCTAGATCCCTTACAGCCGAGGCCTGGATTCCAGAGCTCTGCACAGCCCTGCCCCCAGCACGACGGCCTCCCGAGGCGCCACTCCTACGGCCCGGAGACCTCGACCGAGGCTCTGGATCCCTGAGAGCCTTGCAAGGAGCTCCTCACCCTCTGCGACCAATGAGGTGCAGTGAAAGGGACAGGAGGCAGGTGAGCAGAGACCTCGGCGACACAGGCACTCGCAAGACCCCTGGTGAAACGAGACTCACTCAGCCAAAGATTCGTCTGGGCAAAGCACGAAGAGAGTCAGGAATCCCCAAGGAGAATGGGCATCGGACTGTGGCCAACACGGGAAAGATCAAAGCTTTCCAATCAGCACGACCCTCGGCGCCCCAACCCCTCACCCTCCGAAGTTGGGCCTCTGCCCCAGGATGCTCTTGAAATCGCTCTTCACAGGCCACCAACACCCCTCCTGCCGCTACTCGGGGGCACTGCTCATCTCGCTCTGCCTCCTGTGGCACCGGGTGACGCTGGCCTCTCCCGCTGCACTTGGTTTTCATTACACTGCCATTTCCTGCTGCTTTTCCCCTGCATCTTGGACAATCCCTTCCCAGTCGCTCACGATCCCCCTCCTCTGCCCATCTCTTAAGTGCTGGTGCTCCTCTGGGGTCTGTCCTGAGTGATGGCAGCCACGCCATGACCTTGACCACCACCTGCGTGCCGATGACCCCTGGACCCAGCTCCAGCCTAGGAGCTCTCTCCAAGCCTCAGATGCTGCACACAGTTGCACGCAGACATCTCCCAGGGGTGCCTCCCGGCATGACCTCCCACTCCCACCTTCCCCGGCAGTCTGGTCCCATGTCCGTGAGAGTACTCCCTGGCTGTCCAGGTCAAACGCTCGGGCATCCCCCTCCCTCACATCCAACTGGTCACCAAGTCCTGTAGCTCCGGCTGCACCCTGGGAGCTCGGCCACAGCACCTCGGACCTGGGCTGTGGCCGTCGCATCCTCCTTGTGCTCCCAACTGCACTCAGAACCCTCCCCTCCAATCTGTTCTCCACACTTCCAGCACACTGAGCTTTCCAGAGTCAAATCCTTAGTGTGGCATTCAAGGCCACTCGTGAGCTGGCCCTTGCCTACTGCTCTAGCCTCATCAGCTGCCTGCGCCCCAGGCAGCTGTCTAGATGCCACTGTACACTGTCGCTCTCTCCCTCTCTCCCTCCCCTTCCTGAGTTCTTGCCGTGGGCCTTGGGCCTCAGTCTCCTCACCAACAGAATGGGTGCTGGCCCGGAATTAGACAGCGATACATGCTTTCCTTCTTTTCACCTTCAGGAAAGAGGCAAGAAAGCTAAGCAGAGTGACCACTGACATACCTTCCCATCCCCATGTTTCCACTGTATTTATTTCCACAAATAAAAAGAGTCCTTCCCCGGCTCCTGGTCCCAGCCACCCCGGACAGCTGCGCCTTCCCAAGTCTCGCAGCTCGGGCTGTTGGCTGGGCCCGAGCAGCGGTGAGGTGGCGGAGCAGCCACAGAGGTGACAGGCTGCACCGCCCCCGCCAGCTGCACAGGCCTCTCTGGGGCCTCACTGCTCACGTGTCTGGACACCACGGACGCGCGCCCTTGACACCGTGACCCTGGCAGTCATGACCCTTCTCCACCTGCCTCAGTGCCCTTCCTGCTGGTCCCCCGAGCCCCCGTGGAGGCCATGTCTCCTGACCTGGGCAGACGGCGGGGCTGGGGAGTGCCTTGTTGTCCTCTCCCGTGAGCTGTGTGGCCACCTTAGCCACTTTAGGACACAGAGTCCTCCTCTTTGCCAGGACACGCCCCCCTCCCTGTCTGCACCCCTCCCCCACTGCCCCCAAGGCCTCGTCCCCTCAACCCATCTCTCCCTGTCTCGCTCAGCCTCCATCCCTCCTCTTGGCCATCTTTACTGTCCCCTCCCCTCTTAGCTTCTTCCCCTCTGCCTGAGAATGAGCATGCGCCTTTCCTGGACTGCAGGGTCCCCAGGACACCTTGCTGCGCCCCACGGACTGTCCTCCTCCTCCCACACATCCTGAGCCCTCCAGGGGGTCCTGCGCCCTCTGCCTTTATGTCCCAATCCTACGCCTTCCTTGCCCTCCCTTCAGTCTGACTTCAGACCCACCCCTTGAACGCGACCTCTACTTCTAGATGAAGGTGATATAAGAGCATCCCGTTGCCAAAGCCCGTGTCCTTGGCTCACGCTGTCTCTCTGCAACATTCGCATCGAGGAGGAAACGTGTTTGGAAGAAAACCTAGAAGCAGAACTCCTGAGATACTTTATGCTGCGGACGACACTTAACAAAAATATAGATTCGACAAATCAAGACACCAAAGACAAGTGACAGGGAGATGCTGTTTCCTCTGTCCTGAGAAGTCCTCCCACAGGCAGGGAGCTCCACGCCAGGCCCGTCCCCAGGCCCCCTTGCTCTTCTTGTGCATTGGAGGTGGAGGAACATCTGAGTGGTGAGTTGAGAAGAAAAAACCGGGCTGCTTGTAGGCCGGCCCTCCCTCCTCCTCTGCCTTGGAAGCGAGGAAGCACGGGGCGCCCTCAGTGCCTTGGGTCTTGGATGGACAGACTGCTCGTAGGGGAGGAGAGCCCGTCCCAGCCCAGCCACCTCTCCCATTCTCAGAGTCAGGCTTAGCCTCATTCCCCATTGACAGAGCTGACTCTTTCATCTTACTTCGCAAGTGCTTCAGATCGTAGGGAATGAAAGACAGACCAGCTGTCAGGTGCTGCCAGACCCCAGCATAAAGAGAAAGCAACAGAATGAAAACTAAAGATCGTCTGTGACATTGTGCAGGGAAAAAAGCGTGGCCTCAGAGTGTCACACCGGCCCAGTGGCCATTCAGGTGTAAAGCCAGCCTTTCCTTGCATGAAAGAACTCAGGAAATGAAGCTCTCACAGACTCTTCTTGAAGGTAGTGTTCAGTGACAAAATCCTGCCAGCCAAGAGGTGAGTCAAAAGAAAAAAACCAGCTCAGTAATGTAGAAGCTCTGTCGGAATGAGTGGTGGTGAGCTCCCAACCTACATAAGCGCAGAACTGGGAATAGCAACTAGGTGAGTGATGGTTGCAGAACAGAATGTAAATGTTATAAAACCTGTCACAGTAAAGCTAATTTAGGCACCCAAAATTGGGGGGTGGGTGGAGGGGAGATGGGGACGCACTTACTAAGAATCTCTTTAAATAGAGTCAACCCAACCCATGGCATCAAAAATTGAAACATGTCGTTAAAAAGAAACACAACATCATGACTCTAAGTCTAACCCTTCAATGGTTTTTATCTCCTCTCTCTCTCTCTCTCTCTCCTTTAGAGTGATCTTTTAGGAACTAATATCTCCTGTAAGGAATTGACATTTATCTAAATTCTACCTTTTTTTTTGAGACAAAGTCTCACTCTGTCACTCTGGGTAGAGTGAGTGCAGTGGCATCAGCCTAGCTCACAACCTCAAACTCCTGGGTTCAAGTGATCCTCCTGTCTCAGCCTTCCAACTAGGTGGGACTAAAGGCACACAGCCATGACGCCGGCTAATTTTTCTATTTTTAGTAGAGACGAGGTCTCACTCTTGCTCAGGGTGGTCTTGAACTCCTGAGCTCAAGCGATCCTCCCACCTCGGCCTCCCAGAGTGCTAGGATTACAGGCGTGAGCCACCGTGTCCAGTCTAAAGTTGACCATTTTACTTCAGTTTCGTTCCCTTCAGTTAAGCTCTAGTAAGAGGAAATTTCATGCTTTTCATTTAAAAATAGAAAATATGATCACATTTTTATAAAGTTGCCCTTGTCTATCCTATATCCGTCCATCCATCCGTGCACCTCTCCGTCCTTGTCATCTGATTATACACGTGGAAAGAAACTGGGGATAAAGTCCACCAAATGTTAGCCCTGGATAATTCTGGGGGTTTGGATTGGGGGTGATTTATTTGTTGCTTTCTTCTTTGGACACATATCATTTTTGAAAAAGAGAATCAGATGGCATTAAATGTTAATTTATTGGGAACCTACTGTTTGCTGGCACCATGCTAGTGCTGGGAATACAAAAACCCTGCTTCCTCGAGCCCACCCTTCATTCCACATCTACTGAGTCACGGGGTGCGTGTGCCGGTGCCACGCCGGTGCTGGCACGGGCACAACCAGCTCCCGCTCCAGTGGGACCGTGGTCAAGGCTCCGATGCTATTAAACACAGGAGGGAAGGCCCGTTGCCCGGGTGGGCACTGGCAGACTCCACAAGGAGTCTCCACTGGGGAGAACCTCAGAGCAGGGCACAGACTCTG